ATATATATGTAGAGAGAGAGAGGAGGGATTTGTTTATTTCAAGAAGAAATTTATCTATATTAATTCTACTTATAACTTATATATTACATCAAATTTTAAAGATCAAATTATTGAATTAAAAGTTTTTAATGCACAGATTAAGTTTGTAAGTTTTAAAAAATTTAAAAATTATTTAATATTTTGTTTCATTAATTTAAATTAACACATAAAATATTTTTATAATTATTTTTCAATTTGAATTAATAAAATACAGTATCAAATAGTTTTCAAAGTTTTTAAAAATTTATAGACTTTTGTGTATTAATTACTTTTAATTTAATAGTTAAATCGTTAAAATTTAAAATAGAATATGAATCAATTAGTGAAGTAAGTTTATATACTTTGTGTAAATGAATCCCTACTCTAAAGAGAATCTTCTAAGAGTAAATTTACTTAGATTTATTTCATTCAATAATTTATATTCTATATTAAATTTTAATGATTGAATCATTAAATTAAAAGTTTTTGATACATAAATCATGTTTGAAATTTTTTTTAAAAATTTAAAAATTATTTAATATTTTATTTTATTAATTCAAAATAACGTATAAATTATTGGAGATTGAAGCATGTATATATATAAAAACACATTCCAAGCTATCTTTACAAGCTTCCGTTCTTTGGATCAACTATGGGATAGATCCTAAGTCAGTGCTTAATCACTCTTATCTCTCTTTAAGAGTGTATTATGCAGGGATTGAATCTAATTCCTCCTCCACAAACTTAGCAGATGTTATTAACCTTGGTACATCTATTGTATTGCTCAAATATATGTAGGGATGATAATGGGTGAGTAGTAGCCTCCTGTCACTCATTTTGTTTAGTATAGGTATTTATTTAGTGAGTGTTTATGAATCTTTATGGGTAGTTATAGATATCCGTAGATATTTGTTAAAATGTAAAATTTTAAATAAAAAAGTAAGAAATAAAATAAAATAAAAATAAATAATTTAAAAACATTTATATTAAAAAATAATTTTGTAAAATATATTTTTATTAAAATAAATAATTATGACATATATTTCTAGTGAAAATAAATCCAATCAAACTATTTTATGTATAAATAAAAATATTTTTAGAGTAAGAATATTTGTAAATGGGTATGATTTCTGTCTCATTATTAAGCAGATACCAATTTAACTTTACCCATTTATTATCCATAATAAGTTTTATTTGTAAATATTTGTAAGTACATATATATTTGTTTGCCATCTCAAAGGCATATTGGATGTCATGAGTATTTGTAAAAATAATTAATTAAGGACTTAATTATGTCTTTAGTCATTATACTTTCATAAACTTTATCTTTTAATTTCTATAATTAAAATTATTTCTTTTTAAATTTAATACATATTATTTTGGTTTTTTTTTAATTTAGTCCTTGTAAAAATAAATGATAAGGACTAAAAACACACACACGCAATTTAAAATAAAGTTTAATAAAATAAATTATATTTAAAATTATTTTTTAAAATCACATGCTAACTAATAAAATATATACCTATTAATACTAAATATAAATTGGATAATTGTAACACCCCAATTTTTTTAAAAAAGGTACTTTTGTAATTAATGGCATTTTGTAATTTTAATCTATTTTGTACGACAATATTTTTAAGGACTTTTTTTCAATGAAAAAGTTTGTAAGAATTTTTATAATCTCTTATCTAATTCAGTTTTTATTTATCATACTTATTTATTAATTAATTATTGATATTTTAAAATAGATTATTAATAAATAAAAAATATTTTTCAATACAAATTATTTATCATAAATATAAAATTTAATTTATTTGTTTAAAAATACTTATGTATACATATTTTAAATATAATTTATATATTTAAATATAGTATTTTATATACAATTTATATAAATTTTAATTATATTATATATAATAAACAACTAAAGTATTAATTCGTATCATCTAGCCTCTAAATTTTATTTGTCCATGACTTTTGTGTAATTTTTTTGTTATTTAATATGTAACTTTTATCACTCAATATGTAATTTTCACAGTTCAATATAAATCAACAAATTAAAGAAAAACTGATATTCTCCTTTTTAGGAAGGAGTCCCGAAAGTGAAGTCGAAAAAGTTTTATGCCAAAGTACAATTGTTGGCGTGTTAGGCATTCATTTCATTCAACTTTGAACAACCATCATTATCTGTGACATGTGAGTGACCCATGTTCTGTTGGGTCCATAAACTGATGTACTGTCCTGTATGGTCTCATATATATTCCACCAAAAAAAATTCCAATCAAAATTTACAAATTATGTACGAATTGGAAATTTGTATCATGTGTAATCTGATTTTCATTTAATGGTGAGATATCCAATTGATTGAAAGTGTAAAATTACATTACACAAGATACATGACTATTGCACTCTTTCCTTTAATGCACACAAAATTCTTTAAAAAAAATATGATTGTTGTGAAACAAACATACAACACCATGACAATTTTTATCATTCTGAACTTAAAAGTATAGAATAGACTATATTGAAAAGTAAATATTTATTTTGTGTGCCCTATAGCTTCCAATAAAAATTAGTCACTATTTTTAAGATGGATATTTTATATCAATATCATAATTATTTTTAAAAAAATCTATACAGTTCTCAAAGAAATATGGGAGGATTAAATCCTTAAAGATCCAACTAAATGATAAAAATTGTAGTAATTCAGGTTGATAAATATAGACTCTCGAGAATTTTTTGGAATGCAGAGGGTCCTCATCTGTTGCAGTATCATTCATTTTTATGAGATCACAGCTATCCTCTATAGAAGAGGCATCTTTACGTTGTTTAGTGGCATTTTGAACTCAACAATAAATAAGATTACAGATTATTATTTTGTGCCTTTTAAATTGCTCACATAATTTATGAATATTGAATATACATTTTTATTAATCAAGTTTATACAAAAAAAAAAAAAAAGTCATTTTAAAATGTCTAACAATAATCTGAGTCATGATAAATGTCCATTCTATAATCGGGTGAATTGAAGTGGAAAGATAAGACCATTGGCTTTGGTTCAAATCGAAATATTCATTCTCTTGCAACACGGTTTGCATTATGCATAGGTTAACATCGATATATAATAGTGTCTGCTTCAGTCTTAAATATCAGGAATTTGCTTTATTTTGTTGTAAACCAGTAAAACGGGAACAAATTGGTCCACCTATATGCTCACGTTATTATGATCTTGCCCTCAAAAAATTGAGATTCTATACCTTTCAAATTAATTTCAAGCACAACACTCGATGGTCCTAAGGTATAGAATATGATCTAGAAAGTATTAGATTTAGTTAATAAATATAACAGATAACATTTATCACTGGTAGTGGCAAATGACAATGCAGAACATTTGGTGGTATCTATTCCTGATGGAATGAAGTGTTACCAGGAAGCTTGGTAATCTTATTAGTAGGGTCATGCAAGGTGATGCAACCTTGTGGCTCTGCTGGTTCTTCATCTCGTGTATCAATTAAAAGAAAGAAAGTTTAATTATATATAGCCTAAACTGAATATGATATGTGATGTCAATTAAGGATTGTATAGCTATGCTTAACCCATACTATAACCACCAATTAACTTAGAAAATTTTATATTATATTTTTTTCAATAGGTTGTCACTTGTAACATTGTATGAGCACCAAACTCTAGGAGGTCCTCCAAGTTTGTTAATTTGAATAAAATAAAACATAATATGTATATTTATCGACGTGAGTTCTGCATTTATTGGAGAATTACCATTTATAGTATCAGGACACCTAACAACATACTTTTTAACAACTCTTACTGATATAGTATTCTTTAGTATGAGTTAAAATTTATTAAAAACTATAATATAATGTCATGAGTGCAACTCATTAAATATGAAGTTGAACCTACAGGTTGTGTGATTTTCAATAAATTTAACTCAATAGTGCAGAGTGTGTTCCAGAAAGTACGTTAGAGAGTATTGTTAGGATTTCTCTAAAACCACATGAATCTACAATACAGCCAAGTTGCCTGCAAGTTGTAAGATTAAGACAACGAATAGCTGTCCAATCTCCAAACTCCACATTCCTAACTGATCATAAAAGTTGCTATCAAGATTCAAGATAC